GAAGTTTCCAATTTCTCCAAATCCTTGCCAACAGTTAGTATTATCTGTCTTTTTGATTATGGCCATCCCAATGACTGTGAAGTGACTTTTCATTGAGGTTTTGATTTGCATTTCCCTGATGTCTAATGATATTTTCATGTGCTTATTGACTATTTCTGTGTTTTCTTTGGAGGAATGTCTATTCAGTGTTATTTTCTTAATGTCTTTAGCTCATTTTGAAAGAGAAAGTCATAACTGTGATAATTCCTGTGAACTTTTTTCTGGTGCCCTTTCAATGTTCGTATATTGTTATTCTGAATTTGCCCTTTGTTTTCCCCCTTAAAAACTTCATATTGAATTTGACTTCGTTTTTTTGTTGCTCATTTTTAGAAAAAAATTAATTTTTCTTAACTTAAGAAGAAGGTAGGTAGCTTTTCTATCGTCACAGAACTCCCTCTTGCTTTCTGAAAGTGTGTGTGTGTGTGACTTGCATTCTGAGAATTCTTGGCTCTGTTCCTTTCGTTACTCTCATCTGGACGTTCTCACTCCATGTCCTAGTCTATTCTGACTGCACAGTTTCTCCCCCATGTGGAGTTCTGTGTCTAAAGGGGGCTCTGGCTGGACTGTCTGGTCATTCATGACTGAGCTTACAATGGACCTCTTAGATTCATGCACGGTCAGGCTGGATGGACCCCATCTGGTTTCATCTGCCCCTCTCTGACTGTTCCAGCGTGCTATCCAGTGAACACCTGGTGCTCTTTGGAGATTCTCCTGTTCGAAGGTCTGTCAGCGTCTTACCCACTTGTAGTTTGGGGTTTGTCATAATGGTTTAAGTTCCAGTTTCATTGTAAAGGTTGTTCATGGGTTTTTGGTTTTGCTGCTTACTTGCCCTTTCTGCTTTCAAGTGGGAATCTGGTGTAACCTATGCTATCACCATACTGCCTTTCAGACCATTTCACTGACAATGAAGTTTAATTTGCCTTTCAGTTTGCTATTTGCTTTGACTTGATTCATCTTCACAGTATGGACTCAGGTCAAGGCTGATAATCATATTGGGGATTATTAGTTACTTCCAATGGTGTATGTTCTTCCTCACTGTGGTTAATTAGAGCTGACCGCTATGGGAGCTTGAGGTTCTTTCAAGGCACATTCAGCAATCAGCCATCCTCAGTGATTCAGCAAGTCAACCTAATGCCTCTGATCAAGAGCTGAGCTGCACCAGGTCAAGCTGTGGCTCATCTCTCCTGGTCCCTTTGCTTGTCTACTGTGCATCTTGCAGATTACATCTACTGAAAACTTACTATGGGCACGCTTTTGGAAATTCTCAGGATGCCCCCTCTAATCCCACATATTAAATGTCTAGGATCCAATGAACTCTGGGCTCACAAACTTGCAGCCCGTAGAGCAAGAATAGCCCCAGTCTAATCTACTCAGATCATGCTGCACTTGTAATCACTCCTTCAACAGACACTTATCAAGTGCCAAGTATGCACCAGGGAAACCCACCATGCTGAACGCTCAGAAAGTAAAGATAAATGGGTCCTGCTCTCTCCCCTCTAGGGACAGGAGAGAATGATATACAAATAGTAATTGTGGTGTAGGGAAAATATTGCTAGAATAGAAGCGTGAATTATATGATATGCTTGAGGGGCAGTGCAAAGAAAGAAGCCTCTGTCAGTAGGAATTCCTATGTCAGCAAATAAAACTGTATGTTTTCTATGACTTAATGTATAAAATGCAAGTATTTGGCAAAGGTGAGAATGGAATGCTCAACTACGAAAACAGTTTTTACATCAGCAGAAGGATAACGGTTATTTTGTTATTACTTTTCAATAATGATGCTATTCTGTACATATGTACACAGACACACACATGCATGCATGCAGACATATGATCCCTATTTTTCTGATGCATTTGCACATAAGCAAAGCTCTTGGCACAGAGAGTAGACACCATGAGGATTTTTATTCACGTTCCCTCCTCATATGTGCTAGTGTGGGATTTCAAACTGTCACCAGCATGATGATTTTCAAAAGAGAAAAGAAGTAGGAAAAAAATGACTAGGAAAATGATTGTGGAATAAATCCCAGACACATCATTTTGAGGCAGAAACTAAAGCAGGGCAAAGCCAAGCAGGTGTTTCCAGAACCATAATGAGACTTTCAGCAAGTGGCAGGAGCATCTTTGCTAATTGAGAGACACCCAGGGAACAGCCCACATGGGTGGTGGGGTAGCAGCAGGCGATTCACAGACCCTTTGCCATGGGGGGCAGGAAGATGATAGACATAACTGCCCCAGAAATCCACCAAGGACAAAGATGAACCATACGCATAGGATAGAGCATGGGATTTTAACATGGGTGGAAGTGAAGCTATGCTTGAGAGGAAGTGGGCCATTTGCCCTCTTCATGCAGACAGAATAAAAGTGTGGGCTTTGTAAGAAAGGGAAGGACATTCGCTTAATCTTGGACTTAATCTCAGAAGACTGTCAGCCAGCGCGTCAGCAGATATATCCGCCTCTGGTCCTCGTAGCATCACCAAAAGTGCCCTGAAGCCTGGCTGCTCACTCCCATCACCTGCCTCCATTTCCAGCTGCATCAGGACACACACTCTTAGTCTGAGCAGCGCCAGGAGCTGCAGGGAACTCCCTCCCTACCTAGCTGGACTGCATCTGAAAACCAGAAGTGAAATTCTAGGAGCCTCCTGAGCCTGAAACTCCCCAAACCCTGCACTTCTGGCATATGCCCCGCCCCTCCCTAAACTTCGGGATGAGGAATTGCAGATGACTCAGGATTCTCAGGCGGCTGCCAGACAGAGCATGGTGTCTACTCGGCTTCACACTTTCCAGATGACAGATGCAGAATTGCTGTGTATCTAAAAAATGGAATTTTCCTCAAATTCTATTTAATATGTCTTAAAGGAACTTTTTATGTTTTGTAAAAGTGGTTTTGGGGGGGGAGTGTGTAATTGCCTCAGTTCTGTCTTGCCACAGCAAAGATTTGAAATGGCAGACCAGTGTTGCAGCTCAGAGCTTTATTCCGCAAAGGATAGTACACCCTAGAGGCGTGAGGGCAGGCCCCAGTCCATCTTGGCTTCCTCCTTTTATACATTTGTCTCCTCTCCTCCCTGCCTTGAGCCTGCCTATGCAAATTAGGCTGGCCAAGAAGGGGGCGTGTTTGTTTCACCTGAAGTTCTCACTCCAGTCCGTGGATTTTGTTTTGTTCCATTTTTGCGGGCTTTTCTCTTTCTTTGTCTTTTAGCCACCACCATTTTGGAGTCCTTTTTCCTATTCTAACTACCTAACAGATTCAACAGGAGAAAGAAGGAAGGGACGTTTTCAAAGGAGGTGGCTTTCTTCCATTACTTTATCGAATTCTTAAGAGGTGTTCCCCTCCCCAGCGTGAATTCAGTGACAGATACATAGCAAGTGCTTAACATCGGAGACCCTGAGGCTGAGTTATTAGGAAGGAGCGTCTGGGGAGTGAGGTTGGAAGAATGCTGGTGGTGGGTGGGGAGGTGTGGAGGAGGGCGATGGTGAGAGCAAGCCCTGAACCCCCAGTGCCGGGGCGGACAGAGCCTCCTCAGGGAGGAAGGTGTGGGTCCAGCCCTGCACTCCATGGACTGGCAGCATCTCCTCTGGAACAGCCCAGGGTCCAGCTCCACCCAAGAATACAGACAAAGCCTGGTGCCGGTTGCAAGGGAGAAAGCGCTGAACAACCTCATCAGCATCAGCATCTTTCTCATCACCCTCAGAACTGCTTTGCAGGCTTTATTTCATTTCCTACTCTGGTCATGTGCAACCCTAATCTTAACACGGATGCCTGCCCCAAGCCCATGGGTTCTGGTTGGTTGGTGGCTGGCAGCTTATCTAAAAGGACAGAAGGCTTCTATGACTCAAACAGCTAAGAGCTGCTTCTTTTCAACAAAAGGATTTGGTAGCAGAAATGCTCGTTTCTCTCTTATCTTCTACAGACCGTGATATACATGCTCTTCTTTCCAAGTTCTAAGGATTACCATACTGGGACTGTTGTTGTGACAATGAAATGTTAAATGTGCCACAAAATATCTGAGATGAACTGTATGAAACAGTGTGATAAATATCTATCTGATATTTAAAAATCTGATACTTTTATTTATCTATCTGATAAATATTTATAATACTTATAAATATAAATATTTATCTATCTGATAAATAGATAAAAATATTTATCTATCTGATAAATTTTAAAATGTCTGAATGTATACAGAATGAAAAGAATATGGTCCAATCATCTTTAGTGCTGAATCTTTCTCTTATCCCTGAAAGATTTTATCAAAATTCCTTTTATAGGTTTTCACAAATTTCCTTGTTGTTGGCTCAGATGGTAAAGGGTCTGCCTACAATACAGGAGACAAAAGAGACATGGGTTCGATCCCTGGGTCGGGAAGATCCCCTGGATGCATGGCAACCCACTCCAGCATTCTTGCCTGGAGAACCCCCATGGACAGAGGAGCCTGGTGGGCTACAGTCCACGGGGTCACAAAGAGTCGGACACAGCTGAGGCACTGACACTTTGTGCTTTGATGATAAGAAAGAGCTCTGACGTTAGGTAGGGCTCTGAGCTCAAGTCTGGCTCTGCTGTGTGTACTGGCTGGGATCTGGTGTGAGCTACGGGATCGCTTTGTGCCAGCCTTCCTCATGAGTGCTCTGAGCAGAGGACTGCTGGGCTGGCTGCCTGAGACAGAGCAGGGGAAGAAGGCTAGCCGGGTGCCCGGTTCAGGGGAACCCTCAGGAGATGTTAGCTGTAACTATCAGGCTTGACGACTGCTCACTTTGGGAACGCATCTGTAACACAGAATCACATCTGTAGCGTGTGAGTACTCTGGCCTCTTTTGAGTCAATTTCTGAATTTTACAAACCAATGAATGCAGAGTTTAGGAGACATGAGCAGGGATCTTTCTTACACCTGACGAATTAAAGGAAGAAACCAGATGCTAAAAAACAAAGGCAACCTCTGTTTTACCCTGAGGGTTGTTTCCTACCACGGACTGCTAGAGCTCAGGAAATTCTTTGCCTCCAGCATCTGCAGGAAAGTCATTTGTGCCACGTCTGCCCCCACGGTGCCAAGCTGCCGGGAGCTCAGCACACGCACTGTGCATCCACAGGCCAGGCACGGATGAGCCTTGACGAGTGTCATGTCTAAAGTCACAGGCCTGGGCAACAAGGCTTTTCTAGGAGGCACAGAGCAGAGCCAAGACTAACGAACTCCTTCTGTACCCACCCCCACAGGAGTGGGGGTGATGGTAACGGGGTTAGGGGGAGGCAGGGGACATGCGGAGGAGGCCACAGTTAAAAGCCCAGGCTCCAGACTCCTTGGGTATGACCATAAAATCACAGGGCCTCAACAGAAGTCAGCGAAGAGATTGATAAACACATCGGTAATCAGCTTTTTAAAATGATGATAAAACACACATAATGAATAACTTACCGTTTTAGCCATTTTTCGCTGTGCAGGCCCACGTACACTCACATTGTTGTGCAATCCATCTCCAGAAAGGCACATTTTTGTTGAGGCTGTTGAAGACAGGGAATTGAGGATGAAGTTTTATTAAACAAAACGTCGTAAACCCACGTAACGCACAACCAGGAGAAACTGAGGTCTAAGAGGAACTGGAGGGAGGTCCTGCTGAGTGGGAAGCAAGCCGTCAGCTGAGCGCCAAGAGACAGACCTCTGCTGGGCCTCTGGAGCAGGCACTCCTCACCAGGCAGCCCCTGCTGACTTTGCTCCGTTAGGGCTGTGGTCAGTTTGGACAGAACGGAGGGAAAATGAGTTTGCTTCTGCTTCTGACACTTTGTCACGTCCTGCGTCCCTCAGCCCCTCCCTTCTTGCTCCTGACTCTAGGATGTGGTCCCCTGGGCCAGTCCTGCTCCAGAGTGCATCCTGGAAGCCTCTGGTACCCACGGCCCTCCCCATTCTCACAGCGCCCTCCCAGCCGTCCCTGGCCACAGCCCTGGCTCATCCCTGGGTGGCAGAGGTCAAGACATCTGTTTCCCCCTCCGTAAAGTGGGAATAGGGCCTGCCTCCCAGAGTACAGGAGGCTGAAATACAAGGCCTGCGCCCAGCGCCTGGACTAGGTGCTCCAGACACGCCCCCTCACCCAGCTGACCCATCACCTATGCTGTGACAGGCTGCCATGCACATTTTTTCTTTTTCTTTCTTGTTTCTATTAAAAAAATTACTGACTCAGTGCATTGGGCCAATGCTATGCACTCTTTGAACTACAGAAATGAGAAAAGGAACATAGAAAAAAACGGAACAAGTACACACAGAAATACACAGAGTGGTGCACACAGTAGGTCCGCAGTTGCACATTGAGCCTACAGTCTCAGCTCTGAGCGACAAACAGTGGGGAGGTGATGAGCTTCCCTAGAGGGCGTGGGTGCCTTCAGCGTGAAAGGGAGATTGTAGGTGAAGAAGATGCAGGATGTGGGCAGATGGGATGGGAGAGCAAAGTGTGGTCTTCAGAAAGCAAAGCTTACCCACTTCTGCATGGTGTTCGCTCCTCTCCTCCTCTGCATCTGGCCCTGAGAGAGGATCAGCAAAAGAGGGGGCTTCACTCACAGACAGCAGTGCGTCGGTGATCTCAGGCTGTGGCAGGGAAAGCCGATAGGGACTGTTATTTGGATGAAGTGTTGGAATGATCTGAACGAGGGTCGGCTTGAGAAGAATCTGGAGTACTGGGTAAGGACAGGGACAGCATCTGGGCCCCAGCTCGATCACACACGTGCTACGTGATCTCTTACTCAGCCACTGTGAACCTCAGACTCTTCATCTGTAAAATGGAGTTGAACTTCATAGAGTTACTTGAGAATCAAATGAGATGAAGCATATTGACAGCGTCGGACATATAGTTAGTGCTTGATAAATCTCAACTATAATCATTTAAGAAGCATAAGAGAGAAAACACGAACTCTTTGTTCAGTAAATGGTGATCAGTAAATGTAATTTTCCTCATGTTCAAATCACTCATGAAAGTTTTAAAATAAAGACAGCAAATCAGACCCTGAGGATCTGTTTTTGATCACAAGTACAATACATTTTTCATGCTACTGATGTTCTTCAGAATTAGTTTACATTTTGAGAGTCCAATCTTCACCAGTAGTTCAGAAAAAGCAGTAAAATATGCCTCTTTTCCTTTGTATCTCCAGTTTTCTCCTTGGCCTTTTCTAAGCTTTTGCTTTGAGAATTCGCACATACAGTCTATACTGCATCACAGCAGAAAAGCCTTACAAAGATCAGGAAATGACTGAGTGTCAGGGCATTGGGCAGCAGTCAACCTGGTGTCTGCATATTTGAATTCTGAAAGTTTGAAAAACAGTTGCAAAACTTCTGTGAGAGATCTATGAAAAATTTAGGCAAAATAGAACTTTTAAGAAAAGTCAAAACGATATTCTAGTTTTAATCTGAGTATTCTTAAACTGGCACATTTTTAAAGCTATAAATGACAGAAAACTGAAATCAGGCTGCTTTCTAAGACAAAGGGAGTTTACTGATTCAGTAGTAACTGGAAATCTAGAGATACTGATTTCAGGTGAGGTTTGATCCAGCAGCTCAAAAGACACCACCTAAGGCCAGGTTTCTCTCCTCCCCATTCTGCCTTCTATGGGGTTGGCATTATCCTCAGGCTCCATGAGGTGGCCCCAAACGCAGCTCCAAGGTCTCCCTTAATGGAAAATAGCTACAGCAGCTCCAGAAGTCACATTCTTATACCATACTATCCACAGTAAAAGAGATAGTCTCTCCTCCCAGAACTGCTACAAGAAAAAGGCTTATTTTTCCCCTAAAGCCTCAGCCAATATCTTCTCCTGGCTCACTGGCTCTGATTAGCTTAGAACCAATCCAGGCGACTTGGGGGCATGCGTGGTATGCCCCCAAGTCATAGTTTAAGATTATAGGGCCCACTTCTGGGATTTAGTTTCAATGCCACCCAAGTCAAGTTTTCTCTGGAAATTCAAGGATCTATTGCCAAGCTGGGGGAATAAACACTGGGGAGCAAATAACCAGTGTGCACTATACTGCATTTTTAAGAGGGAGCACTGGATTCACACAATTTGTGGTTGCAGACTTGTATACTCAAGTCAAAGGCAAGGGACTTCCCTGGTGGTTCAGTGGTTAAGATGCCATGCTTCCCATGCAGGAGACACGAGTTCAATTCCTGATTGGGGAACTAAGATCCCACATGCCCCGTGACAAAAATAATAGTAATAAATTAAAAAATTAAGACGAGGGCAAGGGAAATGTCTGTTTCTGGGCTGACTTTCCCTTCTGATAGAATACAGTAACCAGGAAGGCTCTCAGCGCTTGGCAGTTTTGTACCTTGGTTCTGTCCTGGAAGGGAGGAGGTAAGTGTGACATTTACAAATAAGTAACCAGAGGCCAAGGTCAAATGAATGGAAGGCCTAATGAGTTCCCTAAACAAAGAAATATGTTTGATGCCTTCCTGACCCTGCTCCCCTCTGAGGGTGCTGTTGGCTCCAGCCCAAACGGCTCTGCATTCTTTGGCTTCTGTTGACGTTAATGAGACCACCTGACCTTAAATGACATTGTCCTTTGTCTAATGCCAATAGATATATATTTTTAACGTTTACATGAATCGTGTGTACCTTAAAAGGAAAACAGAGTTTAAATCTTGGCGTGAAAGAGGGTGCTTAGCCTGCCGTGACCAAAGAGAACTGGAAATGGCAGGAAGTGGGAGCAGGGGTTGGGGGCGGGGGTGCTCACCCAGGCGGTGCATTTCAGGGCTCCGCCCTCAGCTGCCTGCTTCCCCCTCCTCAGCCCACGCGGTGACACTCCCAGTGCACCTCGGGCTTCCAGCCCGGGAAAAAAGGAGCCGGGATAAGTGGTTTCTATGACGTAATGGGGCTAAATGAGTGGTTTCTAACTCCCGACTTTCAATTACAGTTTAGACATGGTTTTAGTAATAGAATTGAAGGTAACTAGAGATTAACTGGAATAAAGATGTGAAATCAGATTTTCCAGCGTTCCAAATTGCTCAGGGAAAGGGGCTATTCATGTATTCAACAAATATTTTTTTGTTATCCAACAAATACTTATCCAAGGCCCACTCTGGGCCGGTCTGAGGGTACAGTGGTGAACATAGACATGACCCAGTCCACATGGGGTTAATGGTCTAGCCCAGAAGCTATAAGCAATAGCCAAGTGATCATGCAATTCCACTGAGAGTAAGGATTTTCAGTGGAATTGCACATTTAGGCACAGTCAAGAAAGTCTTGGATGAATTTTGTGGATTAAATGATTAGAAAAATTCTCAATATAGAACACTTTTAGATGCTGGATAAAATGTCAAAAAAAACATAATCTTTTTCATCAGTTCTGTTCAGGTATTATTTACATATAGTGAAATTCACTGATTTTAACGAACAATTCAATGAATATTGAGAAATGTATAGAGTCACATAAGCAGCACCACAACCACGACATAGTACATTTCCATCAACCCACAAAAGCCCTGTGCCCCTCTATAGTCAGTTTTTCCCCTCCCCCAAGATCCCTGGCAACCGTTAATCCTATTACCATAGTTTGGCCTATTCTAGAACTTCATATAAATGAAGCCATACAGTATGTAGTTTCTTGTGTTTGTAAGACGAGGTCATCCAGAGGACCTGGGCAGCTGAAGGTCCCTACCGCTCCCCTGCACTTGTAATGTGAGCTGCCTGCCTTCCCCATTCTAGAAGCTGCCCAAGGACGCAAGCCTAGAGATGGTGGTGTGCTGCTGAGCCCACTGAGACAGTGCACGTGACTAAACCAAGCTAAGGCCTCTCTACATAAATTGTGAAGAATCTGGCAGACAGGTGTGAAGATGCCCCAGACAAGCCTTGTATGTTTCCGTGGTGATTAAACCTGCCATCTACCCATCTGAAGAGGTCTGCCTCTTTCTTCAGTCTGTCCCTGCCCTCTGTGCATAGGAGCCAGTTTCAGATTTCAGAATAAGGCAGATCAGCAGTATTTGAATTCTTCCTCTCAGTGCCACACTTGGGAGATTTCTCCATGCTGTTGTGCATGTCAGGAGTCTACTCCTTTCTACTGAGGAGCAAGCAGTGTTCCACTGAACGGACATACCACAAACTATTTTACTAACTTAACTGTTGATTGATATTTGAGTTCTTTCTAGCTTTTGGCTGTTATGAATAAGTGAATACAAATATTCAC